TGACTTCTTTTTTTAATGTTTATTTATTTTTGAGAGAGACAGAGACAGAATGTGAGTGGGTGAGTGGGTTAGGGGCAGAAAGAGAGAGGGGAAACAGAAGCAGAAGCAGAAGCAGGCTCCAGGCTCCCAGCCGTCAGCCGTCAGCACAGAGCCCGACGCGGGTCTCGAACTCACGAGCCCTGAGATCATGGCCTGAGTCGAAGTCGGACGCTCAACCGACGGAGCCACCCGGGCGCCCCAATATATACGACTGATCTCTGAAGGGAATGGTTGAAACAAAAAGCGATGCATTGTTGGAGATAGTATGTTGGGGGACCGTTTTTAGAAACAAGCGAGCAACCTCAGAAAACTGTTCTAAGTCTATACTGGTTCTTTACAGAATGAATTTCGCTTAGATTTTTCAGGGCTTTATGTTGTACCGTGTAACAAAACGAGGTGAACGTTCACGGTACCTTTCCAACAACCGGAAACGTTACTTCTGTTTCGCACAATACCAGCACATTATGCCTCACCATCCGGGGAGATTTCTAAAGAAACTTTTTTTTCTCCTCCATCTGGGTTAAACGGAAAAATCCAGTGTTTTGCTTACGGGCACTAATGGGAAGTTTGGGTACAGCATTAACCAGACACGTGCCCCACGTAACAAGACCACGTGCTGTATTTGACGTGTATTGTAAGGGTTCTTTTGCAGATATTGGTTCCAGTGTGATTATCTTGCCTCCTTTTTTTTTTTTTTTATTGTTACAAAATAAAGACTTTTTCCCTTAGGTTACCTGTCACTTTTGAAATGGGAAACATGATGAATTATGGGACATTCGCCTTGCTGTGCTTTATCAAGCTCATTAGAGATGATGCATGATCTGAACTTTACAGAAGGAAAAAAAAATACGTAGGCACCCTCTTTCTTAGCTTCTCTGTTTACCTCTGCAATTGTGCTATTTCACTGGTTGCACCAATTGACCACCTATTAAGAAAAAAAAAAAAAAAGTCTTGTCTGTAAAACTCATGCCTTCCCTCTAGAATAGCCCTGCACTTAATCTGTGAATTCTCTAGAAGTGGTATCTCTGAACTTCTAGCTCAGAATGCTTGGTTTTATTTTCTCCGTCGTCATGCTGAGCCAACAGACAACTTCATATGCGTGTATAGATTTGACAGGAAATGTTATTTCTACCTCAGTTTTCTCATGAGATGGTCTCATGATAAAAGTCTTCCGTGAGAGAACTTCAGTTTAATGGAAGCAACTTTCATCCATACGTTTCAACAGATCTTCTTCTGCCTTAAAATCTCATGGTTTTACTGAGTATTCATTTTTAAAGAAAGATTTCAGACTGAGTTTTAAACTGATTTGTGCCAAATAAGCTTTAAATAAGTCTTCATAACCCAAAAATTATTTCAGAGCTCAAAAGCCGTATCTTCTTACCTCTGTCTACAGTACTTTGAAAACTCGATTCGCGCTAAAACCTAGACAGATCCACCGTGATGAAGGTCATCAGATAAAAAAAAAAAAATGTTTCTGCAAGTTTAATCCAATGCTTATCAGCTAGAACAATTCCTCTCGAATCCTTCAGATGTTAACTACTGTTGAGATCTAAAATGCAAATACTATTTTTAAATGTGAAATACAGAGTTTGGAAAAGCATTTGGCTTCAAAATAAGAAAGGTGACTATTTGGACAGCAAATATACATATTATTGGAATTTCATTTTCATTGAAGCATCTTCTACTTCCGGTATTTGTGATTGATGAGTTTCCTTGGTAATGGAAAGAACACTCAGGCACTTAACATTACAAATTCCAAGATCGTGGAGAAGTGCACTACAAATCCTTCACATATCGCCCGGAAGACTCGTCCAGGCGGCCCATGGGTCCAGCTCTACTCGTGAGGCTGTTGTCAAAAAGAAGGTCTATGGGGCGCCTGGGTGGCTCAGTCAGTTGAGCGTCCGACTTCAGCCAGGTCACGATCTCGCGGTCCGTGAGTTCGAGCCCCGCGTCGGGCTCTGGGCTGATGGCTCAGAGCCTGGAGCCTGTTTCCGATTCTGTGTCTCCCTCTCTCTCTGCCCCTCCCCCGTTCATGCTCTGTCTCTCTCTCTATCTCAAAAATAAATAAAAACGTTAAAAAAAATTTTTCAAAAAGAAGGTCTACACTCATGCTTCTGTAGTTAATCAGTTCACACACACGAAGTTTCAGATGGGCTATCGCCAGCATCATCTTGTTCCCTCCCTTCCATCACTTCGAACGCATTCTGTGCGATGCACTCTGCTGCGTTCTGGAGGATTGACCCTGCCCTGGTGGAGATGACAGTCTGGAGGAAAGATCAATCTTAATCCAATATCATGTCATTTAGATACAGAATGAAGGTATTTCTGACTGAGGTGAGTCCTTGAAGAAGGATGCAGGGGGCTTGGCCAACACATGGCAGGGGTTCCTGACCTGGGACGGGATGTCAGAGGGCCCTTACTGAGTGCAGGATGTCAGAGAGGAGGGGAGAGACCTAGTATCTGATGTCAGAGGGGCTGGACCTAATATGGGATACAAGGAAGGGGCGAAGATCTAGCTCAGGATGTCCTTGACATCCCTCTTTAAGGAGGAATGCTGAGGTGAATTCAAGCTTCTAAAAGAAAGCCAGTAGGGCAGAAAGGAAGTTATAATCAAGGAACGTTGTCAGAGAGGAGCCCGGCAAGGGAAAGAAAGAGGGTCAAATCATGCCAGGCCTTGAAGTCATGGTAAGAATGTGCGGTTTGTTCAAAGACTTGTGGGAAGCCATCAGGAGATTCAGAAACAAACTTCAATGCAAGGAGAATGACACAACCTGGCTTGTGTGTTTTTTAAATTTTTTTTTTCAACGTTTCTTTATTTTTGGGACAGAGAGAGACAGAGCATGAACGGGGGAGGGGCAGAGAGAGAGGGAGACACAGAATCGGAAACAGGCTCCAGGCTCCGAGCCATCAGCCCAGAGCCCGACGCGGGGCTCGAACTCCCGGACCGCGAGATCGTGACCTGGCTGAAGTCGGACGCTTAACCGACTGCGCCACCCAGGCGCCCCAGTGGCTTGTGCGTTTTATAGACGATCAACAGAGACACCCTACGAGGTAGACAAAGTAAGTGTGATCAACGCCTCTGAACAAATGCAGAAACCACGATCCTACAATTGGGCTTCTTGCCAAAGGAGGAACGGACAGCCAGTGGCTGGGGTATGCCCTTGCCCGCACTCATGGTATATGTCTTTCTGTGCACAATTCTGTTATTTCTATATCCATCAGAGGTTTCTGTCCCCTACTGCACATATTCAAAATCAAGGCCATGCTTCTCATTACTTTTCAGTGATATTTCATTTTAAGGCCGAGTGGGAAAAATACAAGTTAGGTAGTTTGTGAACTAGAAGAATCTAAGAGAAAAGTGTTTTTTTGTTGTTGTTTTGGTTTTTTTTTTTTAAGTAAGCATCAGGCCCAGTGGGGAGCCTGACTCGGGGCTTGAACTTAGTATCCTGAGACCAAGATCTGAGCTGAAATCAAGAGTCTGTCGCTTAACTGGCTGAGCCACCCAGGCGCCCTGAGAAGTTGTTTTTAATAATGGATTTCTCTTTGGTGTGAATCTATTGGTTGCGTCAAGAATTGACTCGCTACATTTTTTTTTTTTTTTGTATAATTTTAAAATCATTTCAGCTTAAGGACTAGAATGGCATTTCCATGGTAACAATACTATCTACTCTTAAAAGCGTATTAAACAGAATATTACAGCTACATCGTAAGTTCCATTATTTGTACTAAATAATACTTATAAGTAGATTTCTAACGTTGAAGTAGGATAAACATAAGATCTAAGAAAAATACGGTTTATGATATTCTACTTAGTTCTGACAAGTGGGGAGACACCACGTGAAGGAAAAAAGCCAGTCATGGTTTATACTAAGGTAGAGAGGAATACCTCTCTCTCCTGCTTTTTTCTGTTCCCTGGAAAATGCCAGATAAGAGACCAGCTCTGGGCATTCTTCCCCAAGGCCTCAGTATATAAAGAGTTTGTCCAGGGCTGCCTGAGTGGCTTAGTCGGCTAAGCGTCTGACTCTTGATTTCCACTCAGGTCATGATCTCAAGGTTTGTGAGTTCAAGCCCCACATTGGGCTCTATGCTGTCAGTGCGGAGCCTGCTTGGGATTCTCTGTCTCCCTCTTTCTCTGGCCCTCCCCCGCTTGTACTTTCCCTCTCAAAATAAATAGACTTAAAAAAAAAAAAAAAACAATAAAATAAATAAAGAGTTTGTACATTGCCAGGAACCAGAGGGAAACATTTGGACTTGGAACTTCGCCTTCCAAGGATGGAAGAATAAAGAAGTCACAGCAGGAACATTTCCATTTTGCAAGGTGGAATTGTTGAAAATCGCAACAGAGGATCCTAACCTCCGTAGCGGTTGTCGAACAGCCAGCAATTTCTGCTTTGTCATATGAACTTAACCAAAAGTGCCTTCAAATTAATTGCCTAACAATTCCGCAGCAGACAGAAGCTGTAACGCTTATAGCCACATTTGCACACTGACTGTGTCTTAGTTGGGGGCTGCTATAAATAGATACTACAGACTGGGCAGCTTAAACGAAAACATTCACGTCTCCCAATTCTGGAGGGTTGGAGGTCCAAGATCAAGGTGCCGGCATCATCAGGTTCTCTGGAAGACCTTCTTCCTGGCTTGCAGAGGGCTGTCTTTTTGCAGTTTCCTTACACGGCAGGAGAGGAACAGAGACCTTCTGTCTCTTTCTCATTCTAAAAATGTGTTAATCCTACCATGGGGACACCACTGTCATGACCGAATCTAATCCCGATGACCTCCTGAAGTCCCCACTTTCCAAATGCTATCACAGAGGGGATGAGAGTTTTAAGATACGAATTTAAGGGAGACACATTCAGTCCATAATAGACTGGTTTGCTTATAAAGACCAAATTACCCCCCTCCCTGCCAAGAAGTGTGCTGAGCCCCCACCTCACAGGACAGAGTGACAGAGAAAACCCTACCATCAACTTGGGGCACTCTCGTCATCTTGTGTCTTCAGGCGGCATTCAGACAGTTGGATGAAACAGTGTAGAAGTCAAGGCAATGGACTCTAGACAAATATACAGACGTGGAAGCCAGCAAAGAGAATATAAGAGAAGACAAGAGCCGAATGTAAGGCTCTGGGGAACATTAACTCCCGTCACACTGCCTGAGCCCTTCTCTGTGTTGCATAATTTAGCATCAAACGATACATCTCGTGTGATTCTAATTCCTCTTCTAGACAACTCTCGTCTTGTCAGCTAAACTGTTAGATGCCTGAGGTCAGGAGGACGTAATGAGATGCTCTATGGCCAATCATTCACCCAAAATAGAAGCCAGGAATTTAGGAAACTATCGAAATCCTACCACCAAAAGCCACCCAACCAAGCAGCATTGGATTAAATATTCCATTACACTACCTGATTGCTCCACTTTGGTTTATTGCCTAAGCTGCCTGGACCATCATCTACTTCTTAAAGTAGGTGAGGCCAGTGATTCTTCATGGGGTACGGGTGAGGCAAAGTGGGGGGGGGGGGGGTAGCAGGTGAGAAAAGAATCTCTCTTGGAGGTTCAGGTTCCCAAGCGCGATGAGCTAAGTGGGCGAAAAGTGTCCCTTCCAAGACATTAGGAATCACTACATGTTTGAGAAACTTCTGAAAGCGTGAACCCCCTGAGAGCAGAGCATCTTTCTTCTGTCACCTCATACAGCAAGATGGCCTTCTGTGATCGGTGCTGAAACGTAATTTTAGTTGTGCTTCCGGATACGAAAAATTGTATTTACAAGGCCAACTTCAAGTTCTGGTTATATTTGTTCTCTCAATCCTATTTTTTTTTTTCTGTTGGAAACTAAAAATAAGATTAGCTTAATAGGTACCCTAGGCTGTGTGTGTTGCCTCCCCACCAAGAAAAAATTCATATTCAGTCCCAGCCCTCATAGTATGGTATTTGGAGATGGGTGGTTGTTAGGTGTAGATGATGTCATGAAGGTTTAGATGATCCCCCTGATGGGATTAATGTCATTGTAAGAAGTGACAGCAAGGAGAGCTTGTCCTCCCTCTCCTCCATGTGAGGACACAATGAGAAGGCAGCTGTGTATAAGCCGGGAAAAGAGTCCTCACTGAGGAATCAAATTGCCTGGTGCCTTGATCTTGGACTTCCCAGGCCCCAACTGTGAGAAATGAACTTTAATTGAAGCCACCCAGACTAAGATATCTTGTTACCGCAGCCCAGGCAGACAAATACAATGTGTATGTCCAAGACGAGAGCAAAACATTTCTGCAAAACAAAGGAAGTTGACTTATACATGTAAAGTATAATAAGAGAAATTGATGACAATGTCTAACATAGGACTTTTAAACTCTTGGATCATTTGGAGTGATTTTAGAAGGCTTTCTGGTGATATAATTGAAGAATATATTCCATTTAACCATAGTCAGTAGGTGTTTGGGGGGTCGCAGAGCCCCATTTTGAAGATAATATTTTATAGCTCATTTGAAAAACTTGCATCTGATATAAATATATCTATTTATCTAATTAAACCAAGTACAACGAGAGAGTTAAGTTTTGTGCCAAGAATATCATATGGTAGTATACCTTCTCGATTAAAAAAAATAATAAACGTTTCCAATTTGGAAGAAGAAATTTTAGTAAATTCTTGAAATTTCAAAGTTGATTTCATGTCCGGATTCTCAGCGGGGCACCTGGTATGTTCCCCTGAAGCCTGTCTATCTAGGTGTATCGGTACAACCATTAGATTAATACATCTGCCGTGAAACAGAAGAAGCATGCTGTTCAAAACCTGGCAAAAGGTGATGGCCAGCCATGACATGAAAAAAAAAAAAAAAAAAAAAAAAAAGTCGAGTTTCATTTTGGAAAACAAGCCCCTTCTCAGTTTTGACTGAAGCGTATTAAGCAGGATAGAGAGACTATCTCTTGTAATCGTCAGCAGATTGGCAATCTGACATACAATTCTGGAAAACCTGTATTTAATTGCTAAAATATGACTTCCTAGCAACTACAAGTCTGTTCTGCCAATGTCAAGTTATCCCAAACCACATGACTTCTGCTTTAGAATTAAAATTGAAGATTTATCCCAGGTTGAAGCTGTGCCTCGTGCATTCTGCAGGAATTCTATGCACTGCAGACAGGGAAACGGGATACCGTTAAAGCACTGCAGTGCCCCAGGGGTCAATGTCAGATACAATCTAATTTAACATCTTCATTAAGGATCTCGAAGAGGGAGTAAGCCACATATTAATGAAATGTGCAAATGATATTAAACTGGGAGCTGGTGCAACCACCAGTAAGGACAAAGAAATAATAGAAATGCACCAAAAGAGGTTAAAACTATGAGCAGAAAATTATTCCATGAAAATCACCTTCTTGGGATTGATAGTTTGGAGATGAGCACTGGGAGTCAGAAATCTCAGAGTTTGGGGCTGTATGCAATTGGGAATGAAGAAGAAGAAAAAGAGGGCAAACTTTAGCCAGTATCTAATTTAGATACCAACGTAAACACTTTACATTACATTATGTAAATTTAGACGGTCTTTAAAATCAGAAAGATCACCAACTCTAAAATTTAGCTACAAGCCAACCCAAATGGGGTGGCTTCACTAAATACGGCACACGTAGCTATTAAAATGACCAGTACATGGATTATATCGACGTGCAGAAGATATGAAAGAGCGTGAAGTGAAAAAAAAAAAAAAAAAAAGACAGGAGCGTCTGGATGGCTCAGTCGGTTGAGCGTCTGACTTTGGCTCAGGTCATGATCTCATGGTTTGTGGGTTCGAGCCCAGCATCGGGCTCTGTGCTGATAGCATAGAGCCTGGAGCCTGCTTTGAATTCTATGTCTCCCTCTCTCTCTGCTCCTCCCCCGCTCATGCTCTGTCTCTCTCTCTCTCCTTCAAAAAATAAATTAAAAAAAAGACAGAACATAATACAATGTGCATAAGGATAAAATATAACCTAACACAACATAAAATGTATGTACACTCATTCAGCCAGCTCCGGAGGTCTTCACCGAGAAACTACTTTTCTTTTCTTTTTCTTTTTTTTAACGTTTATTTACTTTTTGAGTGGCAGAGACACAGTGCGCGCAGGGGAGGGGCAGAGAGAGAGGAAGACGAAGCAGGCTCCAGGCTCCGAGCTGTCAGCACAGAGCCTGACCCGGGGCTCCAGCTCATGGACAGTGAGATCGTGACCTAAGATAAAGTCAGACGCTTAACCGCCTGAGCCACCCAGGCGCCCCAGAAACTACTTTTCTAATACACACTAATTTGGAAACACAAATAAATGTGTCTTTTGTTTAAAAAAAAAATCACAAAACAGGAGCGCCTGGGTGGCTCAGTCAGTAAGTGTCCGACTCTCCATTTGGGCTCAAGTCGTGACCTGGGTGTTGTGGGATCGAGTTCCGCTCAGGCTCCGTGCAAGGGTGTGGAGGCTGCTTAAGACCCTCTCCCTCCCTCTGCCTCCGTCCCTCCTCTGCTTGCACTCTCCCTCTTTCTCAAAACAAATTTAAAATAAATAAAAATAAATAAAAAATCACAAAACAGCTTAGAAGCTTTGACCTTTTAGCCTCTGTATCTCCATGCATCCCATATCCCACCCAAACAGCAGATGAGGCAACTCTAAAAATGACATGGCCAGAGTTGTTGCTAAAATAGAATGCCCTTGAGGCAGCATCTGACAACCTTTCAGTCTTCAGTAGGAATCCTTGACTGCCTATAATCTCCTGAATTCACTCTTTCTGCCTTTTCTACCCGTGTGTCCACTCCCATGCCAGCAACCTTGGTCACTCCGAGGTACCCAGTCATTGTGACAAGAACTTTTAAGCAAGCAAACACCCTGAAGCAATGGTGTGCATGTTAGGACTCCTTCCCTTCTTCCTCCCTTAGAATTCCTCACGCAACTTCTCTTACTTGAACTACACGCAAGGGCATACCCACCGCAAGGAGCTGGAAAGGGCGTCCTTTCAAAACCATGGCATTCCTGAAATATTTGACTTCACCACTCGATCTTTGGTGCCTACTCAAAAAAAGGTAGCTTCCACTCGCCTTCTACATTCTTCCGTGACCCCTTATCTGCTTTCAGGATCCAGGAGGGAAAATAAAGAAGGAATATTCCCCGGTGCCCTCAGATATACCAAAAGGGAACGCATTTGACCTAGCATGGAAACCAAAAGAATGGCTCTTTCTGAAGAGCAGGACATCAGTAGCAAATGATCCAAAATGCAGATGTAGGCGAATCCAAAGAGTTGAAGATGCTGAGGTTCTAAAGTAGTAGGAGAAAAAAGAAAACACTATTTTGTTTGTGCTTCACACAAAGAACCTAACCGACGTCACGTAACAGTGGGGTTTGCTGCCTCTGTATCCGAATGATTCAGATACATCGGTGGGTGGCCAGAAGCTTGTAGAAATGGGGCAATGAACACATGAGGAAGATCATAAATACCAAACAAAGATGGTGGCTAATAGAGGGGGACGTGCCGAAAACGTTCCAAGGATATTCTTGCCAATGAGGAAGAGGAATTATTTTAAATATACTAGAAGGACTTACTGGTCCTATGGGAATAAAATTCAAGGAGCAAACAAGTATGTGAAATCTTAAGAATTTTATTATAGCTTAGCCTTTTCATGGATTTAAGACACTTAGAGGTAAATTTAACAAACATTGGAAATGCACAGCTTTATTAGTGATTCTGCAATTATACTGAATTAGACTAAGCTTCTCTACCTGAAGTGTCAAGTTTCCTTTAGTTCATTACCTGAGTTCGTTTACAAAGTAGAATTTCCTTGTAATCTCCTCACTATTTCAAGCGCAAACGAATTCCACCTCACCCCACCCGAAGTTAAAAAATGTTTTCAAGAAATTATTTAGTGTTCTACTCCAGCTTGCCTTCCTGTAGGATGAGAAAACACATCAGAAGTTCAACTATAGAGGCTGCAGGGTGGCTTATTCTGTTAAGCCTCTGACTCTCGATTTCGACTCCGGTCACAATCTCCCGGTTCGTGAGTTCGACCCTCATGCCGGGCTCCATATTGATGGTGTGGAGCCTGCTTGGGGGCTTGGGATTCTCTCTCTGCCTCTCTCTCTCTCTCTCTCTCTCTCTCTCTCTCTCTCAAAATAAATACATAAGCTGAAAA